AGCATTTGTAGTTAATAAGTTATAAGCATTTAAAGCTAAAAATAAGTTGTTGCGTTTCTTTTGTCAGCCACTGTATAGTAATAAAGTTATTGAGATTAGTTTATTTTAAAAAGATAAATTATTATTTTAAAGCTTCTTTTTTAAGCTTTTTAATAAACTTTAACTCTTTTTTTTTCATATCAAAAGTTTTTTTTTCAAAATATAAAATTACTTTATTATAAGCCTCAATAACTTTATCATAAGTAATTATTGGTAATAAAGAATATTCTTCTCTTTTATTTTCTTGATTAGGTAAAACTGCTTTTAAAATTTTTTTGTCAAATAATATTTCTCCTGTAGTCTCAGATTTATCATACTAAATTCTTTGGCAAAAAAAAATTATCAAAATCTAGTTTATTAATTAATACTTAAACTTCTTTTATTTTTTTTAATCATTTAAGTTCAAGTAATATATCGATACTGGTTTCATTCTCATTTTTATAATTATTATTATGTAAAATATTTACTTTCATCTAATAATTTTCAATTGTTTTATTTATAACATTATTTTATGCTTATAAAATGTATTTATATACTTTTTAATATTAATTTCAAAGAGTTTAATATTATACTCATTAAATTTATCAAAAGCTTTGATTTGATTTTAAAATATAGCTTTCAATATTATGCTTAAAATAAGTTAAATTAGAATTAAGTATAAATAAAGTATAAAATATAATAATGTCAATTATATATATTAAATTTAATATTATTTTAGTTTATTAATTTAACTAAAGAATTATTAAAATCAATTACATTTCTCATTTTAAAACTATTTATGATACTTTGATCACAAGATTAAAAGTATACAGTGATATTTAAAAGAAGGTATTATGATCAGATGTTAATCTTGATAATCACAAATTTATAAATATATGATAGGATACAAAATATCAAAAATGTCAAATATATTAAATATGTTTAATATGTTTAATATAGTTAATATGTCTAACATATAAGATATGTCTAATATAGCTAATATAATTAATATAGTTAATATAATTAATATGTTAGATATGTCAATATATGTAATAGATTAAATATAAATACAAGCCTTTTTGTAAGTTAGAAAAGACAGACTGATGGCTGTATAGAAACCTTTCTCTTATAAAAGATAGTGTAATGCTACTCTTTATATTTTATTATCTTGTTATTTTCTTTTTATTTCAATAAAGTATTTCTTATTACTTATGTATAACTCTTCATAAATTATTGTAATAACTCTTAACTTGTGATTAAAGTCGCTTGCATTTAGTAAACTTAACTTGACTTGATAAACTAGTAGTAAAATAACTAAAATTTAGCATAAAACTAATTAGAATTATATAAAAGAGTCAACCCTTTGATACTGTGTCTAACAGTTATAATCTGAAAAGATTACATATTAATAGTATTGAATAATGATATTAGTCAGACAGGTAGTTTTATAAAGAGTATATATCAAAGCATTATTTACAAAAAGGAGAATGTTCTAGTTTTGTGTTCACATTTTTGTATCAAGTTTTTTATGTATTCATTTTAGATTAAAATTTACATTCAACTTTTTTAGTTCTAATAATATTTGATCTGAAGCGTCTTTTTATTAATATTTTTAATAACTCTAGAATTTTTATACTTATATATGAATAAAGGTGTTAGCTTTTCACTTCCTGTTATTTTACATATGAATAGGATTATTACATAATCCTTTGATTATTTTATTTCTAATATTTGTTTATTAGATATTATTTAACATAGTTTTACAGTAGTGGCGGAAAAAAATGGCAGTCGCGATTATATGATTAAAATAATGATTTATATCATATCTGATTGGACAACACAAACCAATTTTTTGTTTGGTCGTTTACTATATTACACTGATCAACATGCATAAAAAACCTGAACACAAGAGTACCTTATGACCGATATGATGTAATAATGCCGCAAAAAATTTCTATTAAAGAACGACGTGAGGTAGTTAAGTCATTGTGGAATAATGGAACACGAAATGTAAACGAACTACACAAAATTACTAAGTTCCCACTAAGGACACTGTATCGGTGGTCATCTCAGTTAAAAAAAACCAAAAATTTAAAACAACGATATCATTCAGGATGCCCAAAGGTTTTAAGTCCAAAAAAGCGACGTCAGCTCGCTCGTTCGCGTGCTAGTGCAATAAGTTTTAAAATTGCAGACACTCTTAATAATACTTATCCAGGTCTTAATATAGCCACTCGTATAGTCCGTGAGAACCTTTGGAAGTTTGGTTACCGAGATTGTGTTCCTAAAAAAACCCCATTCCTCACTTCAATTGCAAAAGAGAGACGAGTTTCTTGGGCAGAAGTTCATAAAAATAAAAATTGGGAAAATA